AGTCCGAGAAGAAACCCGCCGCTACCACTGCGCGCACGTCTGCACGCACTAGAAAGCCAACCAGCAAGGCCAGAGAGGCCGAACTCAACAGGGTTACAAAGCCCAAAGCAAGGCCCCGGAAGCGGGCAGTCAAGAAGGATGCTACAGCACCCAAAGGCTCCAAGCAGGAGCCAGAGAAGAGCCAGCCAAAGCTGGAGAGTCCAGAGCCGGTCAAGCCAGATACCGGCAAAGAGGCTGGTAAGTTCAGTTCCTCCACCGCATAAGCAACGAAGGTATCATGCATCTAACAACCTGCCTTTCTCAGTAGCACGTCCCGAGTTTCCAGCCATCCCAACCATTCTCGTCACTGACGAGACGGGCAGAATCACTAGGCTGCCCCAGACACCACCACGCCTCAGCAAGGAGGACGAACAAGCAGTAGCCATCCTGCTTGAACTGGCTGCCGCAGCAATGGCGCCAGACTTTATCCCAGAGGTTGAGGTCGACCTGGTGGCTTACAGCCACCAATTCTACTCTCAATTCCCGACGGCAGCAGAGGCAACGACGATGGGTCGGCTGGCCGACCCATCCGAGCTCTCCTGTCCCGACCTCCCGCGCCCGCATACCGACAATCAAGGCTGGACGCACACCGGCCGTGTCAATGAACACGGCGAAGAGTACATCGTCATCCCACCATCGTTCGCTAGATGGTCGCCCGCCGAGCCCACCGACCCTTCGCCAGCCATGGAGGCCTGATGTTGCGTCCTGTTGCTGGCAACGGGGCGCAACTGATGGCCTCCTGAGACAAATTTACCTGGCGTTTGTCGTTTCCACCGTTCAAGTTTGCTGTGGCTCACAAGTTGCCAAATTTTCCAGCGAGGGTATCTGACCCTGTGTTTTGTTAGATAGTTGTCTATTTCACTGTTCATATAGTTATGGGGCAAACGGATCAAGGGATACATAATGCATATTCTCATTTGTGGCATAGATAATGCCCTTTTTCTTCTACATTGAACGTTGTATAGAACGGAAGTTTGATATTGCAACTCAGCTAGTCAGTTGGCCAAGACGGGGGTGGTGATGACTAAAGCCCGCCGTACCAAAATCAAGACTCCATCGACAGAGTCTGGAACAACGACCGATTTCTGGCGATATCCGATCCAGTTCATAATCAATCGCAACCAACCATACTAAATAAACAGCTGCCCTTTATCTGTTGTCTCTAACTATTGATATCAGGGAGACCTCCATCCAAGCCTAGGCCATTCAAAAGATCACGAAAAGCGCAGTTCGAAATAACGAGTCGTCGCACCTCCCGAAAGATAGCAGCCTTTACCCGGAAAGAGAATACTGGATTATATACTCAGGGTGTCAGGACGAGTGCAAATCAAACTGAATCTGGAGCACAGGAGCCGGCTATTGCAGCGCTGCGAATTGCGCATAAATACCATACCAGGCCAACTCGGCATCCTATAAAACATGTCTTCAGCGAGACGAAGGACACCAGCGTCTGAACTGGCAAAAGCCATAAGCCAGTCTAAACAGAGCCCTAATGTGCACCTCCCACCGCCAAAGTCATCACATATCGTTCGGACGCAGGAGGAATTAGGACGAATGGGCGTGCGTGGGGCTCCAAAGCAGCCGGATATAAAGAAAACGCCGCAGTACAAATCTGCTGCTCGAAGGTGCGCTGATGTGGCTGTCTATAGTTCCTAAGACATTGCTAACTTTGGATATTTCCCGTCATTAGGTGGACTATGACAATAGTCGCGCTACCTATCCTGTTATACACAAGCTTTTCATTATACCAACGAGGTACACACCCTTTCTAGAAGCTGCTTGATATCCGCCCTGAATACCCCTCTTGATATTCAAGTCGTGGTCAAGGCTAATCTTTATTGCAATATAGTCATCTATGGAAAGTCGCCGAGGGATCTACCTGGAGTAAATGAATTCAGCTCACAGGCTGTATATTCCTCAACAGAGAGCCCCAAAAAATCCAACGACTGAGTAGCCCCTTTTTCCTGACCTTGCCGGCGCCGTCTATACGGCCATACGATTTGTATCATACCCAACTGACACCATCTCGACTCAATTCCAACCCTACTTCGAGCAACCGGCTTTGTAAGCCATAACGAAGTGGTGTTTACTTGTCTAACCGCACCGCACTACCGGAAAGACTGATGGCCCTTTTCTGTCAAAATGACAACACTAGGGGCACATTTTCATAAGCTCATAGAGACTGGTATATATATAAACCAGAAGAAAGCTCGTCCTTCTTGCATTACTGCATGATAAATGAATGTATACGGAGTGCGGCTAAACTAGACCCAACCCAATAGATGCCACACAACCCTGGCAGGTAGTTTTGAATTGGATATAGCTCCTAGAATATGTGTTTTTCGCACTTTTATTTGCCTGTAATGTTGATTTCGAGCACCTCGCCGTCGCCCTGACGCTCGCCCAGTCCTGGCCACGTGACGTCTTTATATTGACACGCCGCAAGCTTCCATCGACGTCGTTTGATCGTAAGATTCTCTAAATATCGTGTGATTTCCGACTTCTTTACCTGTATAGACCTTCATATCCTGTTTATTTTTGACTGCTGTCTAGGTTCACTCGCTTGTCCTATTGTGTATCTTTCGCAATGCCTGGTTCTACTGCGCAGAAAGCGCAAACGCAGGCCGTCTCCAGCAACCCCAAGAAACGCCGTAATAGGAGCGTACAGGCTGTAAAAGAGACAGCTGCATCATCCCGGCCGAAGCGCGTTGCGACAGCTGTGAAGAAAGCCGAAGCAGAAGATGCCATTGATGATGCTAAGAAGCGCCCAAAGAGCTCGAAAGTCAAGTCCGAGTCCGCAAAAGACAAGAAAGGTTTGACTGCCATTCGAATTAACCCCCTGCCAATGTTATCTCTATATGTATATGCCCATTACATTCATGATACATGACTGACAAGGTTGATAGCGGCCGTGAGGAGCCTGAAGAGTGGCTCTAAGCCTGTTCCTGGGAGAAAAGAGCGCCCTGCCAAAAAGTCAAACGGCGAAGCTACCATGGGAGAAGAGTGGGCTACAAAGAAAGCTACCATTGATGCGAAACCCAAGAGTACCGGCAAAGTAGAGTCTAAAGATGAAGGAAAATCATACTGGCTCATGAAGGCAGAGCCTGAGACAAGACTTGAAAAAGGAGTTGACGTGAGGTTTTCAATTGACGATCTGCGTGCTGCCACTGAGCCAGAGGGATGGGATGGTAAGCAAATATCCTGTTTTTATAATAATGGGTTCCCAGACTAATAACTTTGATTTTAGGAGTCAGGAACCCAGCTGGTAAGCTATATATTTGCGTTTCAGTTTCTGCTTGTACAGCGAGTAGCTCCTATTAACACCCACGTCATTGCAGCAAGAAACCATATGCGTGCAATGAAGAAAGGAGACCTCGCCTTCTTCTACCACTCAAACTGCAAGGTCCCAGGGATTGCAGGCACGATGGAAATCGTTCGAGAAAGCTCAGTAGACGGTATTTGCCATTTCCCCAACATTGCAGTTTCACGGCCTTGGGCTAATGTGTCATGTAGAGTCCGCATTTGACCCTGCACACCCGTATTATGATCCAAAGTCCAGTCGTGATAACCCTAAGTGGGATTGGGTCCATGTTCAATTTCGGAGCAAGTTCAAAAACCTGGTCACGCTCGCTGATATCAAGTCTCACGCAAAGCCTGGTGGTGCCTTGGAGAATCTCCAAATGGTTAAGCAATCTCGTCTAAGTGTGTCTCCTGTCACGGCAGAGCAATGGGATTTCCTTATGAGTTTGGCAGAGGAAGAAGAGCCTGTGAAAGAATAGCCAATAGATAATATCCGTGCTTTTTGTTGTCCCCCTCCCCCTTCGGCCACGAAAGCCCGCCAATTGTCTGGTATATCTGTTGCAAGTCCTTTTGACATGTTCTGGCGTTCGAATAAAGATATGTACAAGAATCTGTAGGTGGGCCCACGCGTCCTACCCCATTTGTAAGGGATTACATATATATATATATTGTGGCGACTCATTTTCAGTGTTGGTTTTAGGTGGAGGGTGTGTTGGGCTCGCAGTACAGTGCAAATAGCTTCACGGGAAGCAGATTCAAATGCCGAGGAAAGCCCAGCTGGTCTTCTTCCCTTATAATTGAATAGCCTGATCCCTGGAAAAGATGTTTGTACTTTTCTTCTGTCCGAGTGACGCTTTTATCCTGCGGATCAAAGGTATCGTGTGGCTTGGTATTGAGGTTCTCTTTGACAATAACCACGCCAGACGGCGAGAGTGCATCTTTGCACCGGGTCAAAAGCTGCACAACTTGGTCGTCGGTGAGATAGAGCAGACACCACTGGATCCATATCAGGTCGTATCTCTTCTCGGGTACCCAGTTCTCCAGGCCAGTGATGTAGACATCGCCAACTTTCCCTTCCGCCTTGAGCTTCCCTTCAATCAGCACTTTGGCAAAGGCCTCTACCGGCTCGACAATGTCCACTACCTCGCACACCTTGCTGAGTAGCCCTTCGGTAACTCTGCCAATGCCCGCCCCGCAGTCAACACCGAGCTGTAGCGGAGGCAGATGCGCCGTAGCAGAGAGAGCAGTCCCTCCCCCAATCGATGGCAGCAGACGGCGTACTTTGGCCAGAAAGGACCGTGAGGAGAGTAGATCCGCCCTTGAGATCTCAGGAAAACCTCCCAGCATGCCGTTTATGTTGGGTTCAACCGTCGTCCAGTATTCCACGGCGCCAGCGTTGTCAACCAGCCTGTCCGGGGGGAGCTGCCCGTCACCACCGCCGTCATCCCCGGGCCCGTCCGCCGTCTTCCGGTCACTGCGGTCCATAGTCCGAGCTCAGCTGCCTGGGATGCTGCGGAACGTCGCTCTTCTGCTGCTTTTTACGCCGTGCCCTGCCTTCGTCTTCCCTGCATGAGGTTCCCGCAGCTGGCTCCCGTCGGTCTCTGTTTTGGCTGCGGGACTTCGGCTGCGACTCCCGGAGGGGCAAGAAAAGGCAAAAATCTATGGATGAAACACCAAACATCGTCACCAGCAACAACAACCAACGACCAACGACGTCGGCATCAACTTTTGTATTGACTACATTGTATACGCAATATATGTTCCGTCCCTGGCCGCTGGTAGGACACTTCTGCTCTCGTCTTGCCCGTGTGTCTAGGTCTACTCTGCTGCTTCAGCGTGATACACAGCTCCGCCAACTATACCAACTAGCCCCCCGCCAGAAACAAACAGACCACAGATTCTTCTCCTCCAACCCAGTGTCCTGCAATATGTCTGGCCTGTCTGCAGAGCTCACAGCGCCCAATGGCAGGAAGTACACCCAGCCATTGGGACTATTCATCAACAACGAGTTTGTTGCCGCCAAATCAGGACAGACGATTGTATCGGTCAATCCCACGTATGCCATCATGTTTTCGAGCCCTTAAGAAATAAACACAGAAGTCTCTGGATTATGATGCTAATTTCCAATGAGCAGTGATGAGACGGAAATTGCCACTGTGCATGCTGCCGGCACGGAGGACGTAGACATCGCCGTCAACGCCGCCCGAGCAGCCTTGAAGCATCCCTCATGGAAGGATTTGTCAGGATCCGACAGAGGACGGATGATGGTTAAACTATCTGAGCTCGTCGAGCAACATGCAGAGACTTTGGCCACTATTGAAACATGGGATAACGGTATGTGCTGTCCCCTCTGCTCTTATTCACTCAGAGCCTTGTCCCACCCGTCGACTCGGGGGTATCTCCTTTTAAAGCGAAATAGGCCTGTATCTTACATGATCACGATCCTAGGAAAGCCATATTTGGTCTCCTTGAACGACGATGTAACTGAAGTTGCATCTGTCCTGAGATATTATGGCGGATTTGCCGACAAGATAGAAGGTAGGACTATCAGCACGACTGCCAATAAGTTTGCCTACACGTTACGCCAGCCCATCGGCGTCGTGGGCCAGATCATCCCGTGGAACTTTCCTTTGGCAATGGCTGCCTGGAAACTGGGCCCAGCTTTGGCATGTGGAAACACAGTTATTCTTAAAGCTGCAGAACAGACTCCTCTCAGTGTATTATACCTTGCAGGATTAGTGAAGGAAGCAGGATTTCCCCCTAGCGTTGTTAACATCCTCAATGGATACGGTAAGGAGGCCGGCACCGCCATTGCATCCCACACCGGTATCGACAAAGTTGCCTTCACTGGTTCTACAGCAACGGGCCGTGCTATCATGAAAATGGCTGCGGCTAACCTGAAGAACATCACTCTCGAAACCGGTGGCAAGTCGCCACTGATTGTCTTCGATGATGCAGACATTGATCAGGCTGCAAAGTGGGCTCATACCGGTATCATGTATAACATGGGCCAGGTCTGCACCGCCACATCTCGTCTCCTCGTCCACGAGGGTATTTATGATCAGTTCGTAACAAAATTCAAAGAGGTCATTGCGTCGACCAGCAAGATTGGCGATCCATTTGCAGAGGACACATTCCAGGGGCCCCAGGTGACCAAGGCCCAGTACGACCGTGTGCTTTCATATATTGAGGCCGGCAAATCCGAGGGTGCAACACTTGCTACAGGAGGAGTGCCACACCAGAAAGTTGGCAATGGCAAGGGTTACTTCATTGAACCAACAGTGTTCACCAATGTGACAGACAACATGACAATTTACCGGGAAGAAGTGTTTGGCCCCTTTGCCGTAGTCACCAGCTTCAAGACGGAAGAGGAAGCCCTGGCCAAGGCAAATGATACCACGTACGGTCTAGGCGCCGCAGTATTCACTCAAAATATCGAGCGTGGTCACAGGGTGGCCAGTGGTATCGAGGCTGGCATGGTCTGGATCAACAGCAGCAACGACAGTGACTTCCGTGTGCCATTTGGCGGTGTCAAGCAGTCGGGTGTCGGGAGGGAACTTGGCGAAGCTGGCCTCGAGGCATACTCCCAGGTTAAAGCCGTCCATCTCAACATGGGCACAAGATTGTGAGGCCGCGGAGATCAAGTGCAAAGAATCGGTGAAAGGCGAGCCACTCGCATGTTGTTTTGCATTTTGAATTGGAAAACAACAAGGTCAAACCAATCAAAGAACCCCCAAAAAAACAAAAAGGAAAGAAAGACAACTGAAACTAGCCTGCTTTTGGCCATAATCTCAGTCTATACTCCGTGTTCTGGGCTGTTCGTCACTTGCTGAGGCTGCGGGGGGCAGGTAGATTCGACAAAGTCCAAATCGATCTCGGAGATTCTTCTAAATAGCTCTAGTGGTTGTACGACGGATGAAATTGTTAATACATGAACTTTTTTAAAAATAACTCCATCGTATTGCTTACCGCTTACTGCTCATGCACTGCCTCGTTGCAGTTGGCTAGTTGGCTGGTTATATGCAAGCCAGAAACGCAACAGTTCAGTCCGGTTCGTATGCATGTACGAAGCATATTAGGCAGAAAAAAAAAAAAAATCAAACGCAGCCAATGCATGCGGCTACGCTGGATATCAAACGATGCCATGCAGCTTTCGCCATGCTTGCTTCCCCGGTGCAAAGACAAGTCACCGATCCTTTCTCACCCGAAAAAAAAAAAAAAAAAAAAAAAAAAAAAAAAAAAAAAGGAAAAAGAGGAAAAGGGACCAGACATTAATGACGAGATACAGTCATAATAACTATACAACCACGGTTTAGTAGCTCATTTGTTCCGCCAGCTTCCGGCAATCTTTCAGGGGTACGGGGTACGACAGTATGTATACTTACATACAACCCAAGCAGAAGTGTGCCTGCCCATGGCTCTAGTTAACAGATTAAAAATGGATTCTTTTTCTGCGTACCATTGCTTCGACACGGCCATCACAGCTGATCGTCTAGATAACCGAGGATAAACGAAGGATGCGAAATATGCCCTCGAATAAGATACCTTCCAGAATCTTGGTGGAATGAATAGAACCAGAATTATGGCCAGAAGACACCACAAAAATAGAACAAGAATGGTCATCAGACGCACGAGATGCAAGGTCAGAGGAAAAAGAAAAGTAAATGGCTTTTGAAGCTGAGGAGATTCTAAACGGGGGGTTCTGCATTGCCGGCTCGGCTATCGATATCATCACTTGTGCTCCGCTTCGTGGTGCTGGGAAAGCTTCAATCCTGGCGACGGTCATCGTCTTCGGTGGCGTACTCCGAACTGCCTAAGGAGAGACATCCAAGCAGCGAGAGATAACACAAAAATGGGAGGAGTTATTACCTGTTCTCCGTGAAGCCCGTTTATCCGTATATCCTTAACACGGTTGTCATGGCTATGGTAAGTGCCTCTGAACATTTAACATTATTGCTGCTACGCTGCTCAATAATTAATGGCTACTGTACTCCGTACACTGTGCTCATGGCACCAAGATCTCAAGCAGTGCCGTTTCTTTTTAGAATTCCGATCTGTACTGATTGGCATTGGTGTAGTGCTTGCCACCAAGAACAGCTTTCTGGGTCCCCTTTCCAGGCCTAAACTGGTGACTTGCCGAATGACAAGTCATCTCCATAGCTACACCAAGAGTTGGCGTCTCCCTCACAGGCGGATCGATGGATGAATGGAGCTTCAAGAGGCCGATACTGAGAAGCCAAGCAGACCAGGCAGGCCATTTTGTGGCGCTTGCGCGCAAGTCAGCTTCCAAGAAACGCTCGACTTTTATCGCTCGTCACCGGACTCTCGAAGCGAGTAAATATAGAAATCGTACAGGCCAGTTTCTGGGTCGCTTGAGACACCTGCAGCAAGCTCTTGCATCGTGTAACGGTCCCATTGCTTGTTCTCGTGTGCGTTGGCTTGACACACCCCCTCTGCAGCACGGGAGGAGGGGATCATGGTTTTTGATAGACTCCAAGGGCCAACAGCCGGTTGGTTATTGAGGCCAAAGGTAAAAAAAAGCATCGCAGGACGCAAGGGGTTAGGGAACGAAACCTATTCGTGGTGGACAGCTATCGCCACCACTATATCCGTCCTGTGTTGCACAGCCGTTGATCGTTGGTTGTTGGACACTTTTTTTCATCCTGGAGGATGTACGGAGTACGGCATACTCCGTCTCTGGCGGTATATTTCAACATGGAAATCTCCATCTATACACACGTGTGGGAATGAAAAAAAAAATAATAATAAATAAATAAATAAAGAAAAAAGATGCATCTGTAATGGAAAAATCATTACCGCATTATTTTTTATTTTTTATTTTTTTTTTTTTTCCCACTCTCGTCCGGTGGGTGTTCTGAGGAGAAATTTACTAGCTGCAAGGATCAGCTTCACTAAGTGCAGCTAATGCATCTCGACCCTGGAGCTGCACGGCATCTTATGCATAAACTGTTGGTCATCACTTGCACCTTGCAGGCAGAAGCTCTGTTTAAATGGTTGGATTGCGTCTCGAGCCGTTCAAGCTGCATTGGCAAACTATTCAATTGGCTCAACTCGTCTCGTCCATCTGGTGCGGCCAGTTAGGCTGAGCACAGAAAATCTCTCAGCGAAAGACAGACCCACGAAAGAAGATACAGCAACCTGCATTATCTTCTTCGGGAGAAGGGCGAACCACGCCAGCCCCTCCAACAAACGCCAGCAGCAGGAAGAGGCGTATCTTCCGCCCCCAACTGACTTGCGGCGCCATGTTCTGTCCGCGTGGCATCAACAAGGAATACCCTGGGTTCGACCACGAGAACCAACATTATGTGCCTTATTATAGACGGGGAAAACCGAGTCACAGCGTTCCAGATGGAAGAAAAAAAAAAAAAAAGAAATTGACAAAAGCAGAGGGGTGAATGTATGGATACGACATGCGTCGCACAAGTTCAGACATAATATCTTGTCCACGAGTCGGAATAAGCGCAAAGGATTGTCTGTGTCAGGCGAGCATATTAACCCGTTCGCTTGATTGTTGCACTGGTTAAAGAGAGATCTGTGGCAAGGAAAGCGAAGGGATTCTTAGAGTCGTCGTTGTACTCCGTAGAGAAGGAAGACAAGGAGCGTTTGCTCGTTTGTTCCACTACGAGCAGTTCTGGCGCAAACAACCAACATCATTTGACAAGAGGGATGGGTCACCAGGACCTGGCAAGCTTGTTGAAGCAATAATACTCCATGGAAGGGGGGTATATCTGCAGCTGGGGCCTGCAGCTGGGCAAAGAGAGTAGGAGAGTGAGATGCAATATTAAGTATCACAAGCAACGGTCTACGGGAACACAAGCTTAAGGCCGTCTATTTCATGACAACAGCGAAGATGGCGATTAGTGATAGTGTAAGTTGAGCCTTCAGGGAGGAGGCATAAGGGGAAGCAACGCCAGCCGGGGATGTCTACCAAAAAGGAAAAGCTACCGTCCCGATGGCGTTCGAGGAGGTGGGTTAGGAGGACAAATAGTTCCCATCATGGCCATGCTGCTCTTTCTGTAAGGAAGGTCAAGCAAACAAACAAGGCTCTGGCCAATGGTTACTTGCTCACTCTGACCAAGGAGTGAAAAAGGGGAGGGAAAAGAGAAGGCTGTGTACCTAGTTAGGGGGCGAGCTGGAGATATTGAGTTAGGCTAAATTAAATAAGGTGGCCCGGCGCCAGGGACCAGGGAACGAAACAACGTTCCTTCCCGTCTCCCAAACTTCGGCTGTGCGGCGTGGAGACGGGAGTGGTGTGAACAGACATTGGACGGAGTGGGAATGGAGACCTGTACACTTCCAGCTCCTCCGTTAAAGTCGCATGATCTGGACTGTGATCATCTTCGTATGAGCCTTGATCAAACGAGGCTGGTCATTTCGGGATTTCACAATTATCAGAGCTATCAATTTCGAGATCTTCCAATCATCTGCTGACTCGAAAGCGTGTTTTGGGGCGGGACGAGAAAATGTCTTGAGTTCAAGGTTTTGTTTTTCATGTCCCCGAGGATGGACATACGGAGTATGGAGTACAGAGCTCAAATAATGGCAGAGATATCGCCTCGGTAACAAAGCTCTTCGGTAACAAGTAAAAGGAGATGGCATGAGAGCCAAGCAAGCTCCCGTGCCAGGAATCAGGGGAGACTTTCCGAGCTTGGTGGTATGAAATGGCAAGCAGACATCAAGGTCCTGAAATATTACCAAAGGTTCCCTCCACGGAAAACCTCTAGCAGGGTTCCTGGAACAGGTAGCGATTGGCAGCTCTGCCCTCCCATGATATACCAATCTCTTTCGATACAGGCTCTATCACAGTCCTCCGGACAACTTGGGCTAACTGATGGGGTGGAATGATGGGTAAGGTAAAAAAAAAAAAAAACGAAAGGAAGAAAGAAAGAAAGAAAGAAAAGAAAAAAAAAAAGAAAAAAAA